TAGAATAAAACTGAAATAAAACTTGATGTAAAAGCTTTAATTAAATAAAAGAAGTGTTTACGTTATTAACTATAAATAGACCATGCTGGGTGGGCGGGACATGCTGTCAACTCCTCCGGTGATTGACGGGAAACTTCGACCAATCACCGGTCTTCCTTTCACGCTACGTCACCGGCAGTGGGCGGTGGTCTCGCGCCGCAGGCAGTCAGCCTGTCTGTCGGTTAACGGACACTAACGCCATTTTAAACCCGTTAACGGCACTTTATCGGTGTTCACCGGAGTTAACGGTGCTCTGTCGGTGTGAGGTTGTCCCCCGGTTGTCCCCGGTTGGCTGTGTTTCTCTCCCGGTAACGGTACAGGTGGGTAACGGCTTCCTCTGACAGACCTGTGGCTGTCTGCCTGCCTGCCTGCCTGCCTGTCTGTCTGCAGCTTTATGAGCAGTTTGAATCAGATTGCATCAAAACTGAAGTGCATGGAGCTGCTGCTGATATAACTTATATTATATATACATAAATTATATATGTGTGTGTGTGTGAGCAATAAATAAACACAAATACAAATTACAACAAACAAAACAACTATACTTTAATATATAAACTGTATAATTATTCATTTCTGAGTCATTAAAGGGAGAAACCTCCTCAATATATTGATTTAGTATCATAAAGTCTTTATCTGATAAAGTTTCTCATTATTTTGACTTATTTCTCTTTTTTTCTGTCACATTTGGCATTTATATTCAAATCAGTGCTAGTTACTCAAAAACATGTAATTTATTACTCATTACTCCGTTAGAAAGTCATATTATTACTGATATGTGTTAGTAACTAGTTACACTGCTGGTTACTAAAGTAAATCACTACACAAACACACAGACACATCAACTTAAACTATATTAAAATCAGTGTTTGGATAGTTACTCAGAAACTGTAATCTATTACTCCTTACTGTTGTAAAGAGTAATATTATTACTTTACGTATTCAGGTTCCCATGAGTCCTGGAAAACCTGGAAATACCTGGAAAACAAGGATATTCAGATAAATAGAAATAGTCTGTGGATCTTTTTGTGTTTTATTTTTTGCAGATTACTCAGATAGCACAGCGCCACCTACAGTACGGACTGTGTACGACCCAAAGTAACGTTAGTTCAGTTCAACTTTAACTGAAGTAGTTTACTAGACTTTAACTGTTAAAGTCTATAAAATCAATAAATAAAAACGTATGTTATTCTACTGAACAATCCTGTGTTTATTATTATTATTATTATTATTATTATTATTGCATAAAGATCTTGAATATACGGGCAGAGTGCTGTTGTTCTGTAAATAACATTTTCCAACAATATTGATGTAAACAAAGTAACTTAAAAACATCCCATAATGAGCGTCCTTTAAAATAACACCAGACCACCAAATCTTAAGATTATCTTAAACAGTGTGGAAGTATTTATTATATTTATGGAAGTAAAACAGCCGTCAGATACGACCTGTAAAGGTTCCTCACATCTCCATAAACACTTTTATAGAAATAAATAAGTCTGATTTAAACCAGTGGGATTAAATATAACCTTCCTGTCTCCCAACGGTTTATTAGTGATTATATTCCTCACGTTTAATCCCCAAATCTCTGAACTCTACATAAATATTGAAGATCTCAAACATGAAATCTTCTATAATTGAGTTCACAGCCTGTAAAGTGAATAAACTGCTGCAGTCGATGCACATTACTGCCCTGTCTGTCTTCCACCCACTGCAGATCAATAAGTACAGCTGATCAAACTGATCAACTCACAATAACTGATCGTTTAATGTTATAATCTTCTGCTTTATCTTTTAAGGTTTGTCCCTTCTGAACTCTTTAAACTCTTTAAACTCGACTCCTGCCGACATTACTCCACTTTATCCATATAAGTGCTTCACAACAGAAACAACAATCAATAAACTGTTCAAAAGGCTGAAATACAAAATAAAAACCAGGGACACAAATAATGTAAAATCATAAAGTCTAAACTCTAATTGTCTTTAACGTTCGACTACAACAAAGTGTGATAATCTGAATTCTGTCAGAGTAAACTGAATATATTTTATAGATGTTTATGTTTATATTCAATAACAACAAACAGCTGATCAACTGTAAACAGTCAACAACTACAGGAAGGTTGTGAAACCACAGATTACTTCATTTTAAGGAACCTTTTATATCATTATGTGTCTGTATTTTATTCATTTTTAACAATCAAACAGATTTAATATTCTTTATTTTGTCAGATTCTGTTTTCTCCTCGTGAGACTGAGACTCTGTTCATCTTAAATTATAATCTAAACGATTTCATTTAGTTTTCTTCACAGAAATAAACAAAATGC